TTCTGTTTGTTTACCTAGTGAATATTTGTTGGAACTACTATGTGCAATGTTTTAAACACAATCAGGGTCATGATACGACGAGAGAAGGCAAAATCTAAATAGGCAGAGAAAGGAGAGAGAGATAAATGTTATTAAGAGTTCTGAGGAAGATCTTAAATCCCAGGTAGGAGTATCAAGGAAGACTAGACAGAGGAGGAAATATAGAAGTCTGGGAAAATGAACAAACCTCTCTGCCATTGGGGTGGGATAGACTCATATATAAAGGTAAAATGGGAAACTAATGGAAAGGCAGATATAAGAGGGCCTTGAATGTCTGGGTGAGTTTACATTTTCCTCCCCTAAAGGCAGATGAACCCCTGAAAATTTTCAGGCAGACTGTAGAGATGGGATGGATGGGTTGTAAGAGAAAAGAGGCAGCATTGGAAAGATTGATCTGTGGGCTTTAGCTTTTGTGGGTAAGAAGAAATTTGTTCTAATAAGAGTTTGAGAGTTGTAAATGGGGCCACTATGAGCGGCATTATGAAGGTTACACCCTGTATCTCAAGATATTTGGATTGATGTATCCAATTCACAAAATTAAGTAAGTCTTTTTCTCAATTCCTGGGGCAAAAATTAGTACTCAGTTTTAATGATTCCTTCATCGAAGATGTTCTCAAACACTTGATGCCTACTACTGTTTAGCCTGTGTGTGTCTGTGTCTATTGGCATTTAATGATTATAAATCTAGCTTTCATTGCCTCTTGAAGAATACAAATCCTTTCCTGTTATCTGAAACAAATTAATCTATACAATTTAGCAATAGACTGAACTTGTGTTGGGTATGTAGGGGGGGATCACAAGAGGAAAGAAAGCAATGAAGGGTGTTGAAAAGGAGGGTAAAGATAGGATTTATGAAGTGTGTTAGGTTTATTTCCATCCAGAAATAGAGAGATAGTAATAGAAACTGATTTGTGGGAAGGAGAGATGAAGTTTGTGATGGATTGGGTTTGAAATGCAGAGAGGATATCCATGTGATTATGTATAGGATGTAGTAGTAAATGTGAGATGAGTTTCAAAGAGATTCAGGCTGAAGATACCGGTAGGTATAACTTGAGAGGTAGGGCTGAAACTTTGATAATTGATGAAAGTAGAAAATGTGGCTACGACAGAATTTTTACAAACACCCACCTGTTTTTTGACAGTTGGGTCTGTGGTGGGAAAATTAGTCAAGTATGGGACTGAGGAAGATGGGGAAGAGTTTTCAACAAAAATGTTGAAGAATATAGATGCCTCTAAAGGCCTGAAAAAGGTGTTTGGATTATGTGATCCAGTGGTTCTTCGGTGAAAGCAGTTTTTGTGCAGTGGTCAAGGCAGAAGCCATGTTGTATGATGTTTCCCATATTTCCCCTTCCATTGCCAAGTTTTTGATTCTCTCTTTAGCTGAAACTGTATGTTGAGCCACTGTCTTCATGGAGTAGTCTGTAATGATTTACAAAACCACCCCCTGGGAGCCTAAAATTCATCTTCTTTAAGTGTAGCTTTAATATTTTTTTCATTAAATAACATCACTGTAGACAGTTTCAAGTCAAAACTTATCCAGGTGCTAATGTCATTTCCTCAAATGCACTGAAGTATATCGCAACTTTCTTTAAAATACCATTAGCAAACATACTTTCTATATGCCTCACCCGTGGTATTTATATATATTATAATTGGCATAACATAGGGATGATTAATTATTTCCCTGCCATTGTTAGCTCTTCTTTTATACTCAGCAGAGCCAAACTTTAAGTAAGGCCTACTCTCTTAATAAAGATCCTTTTAGAAGGCTCTGAGAGTAGTAGGATCCCCCTGCACATGCAAGTTCTAGGATAGAATCAGATACAGTTGGATAAGGCATCACTTTTGTTTCCAGGTGCAGAGAATAGTTGTAAGACTCACCCTAAGTAGTACTAACGATTATAATAATAAAACTTCGTTGCTATTTTGGCATTTTATGTGCTAATATCTGTGTGCATGTGTGTTTGCATTTTTTTCTAATCTTCATAATGATTGTTAGATGTAGGTATCATTGTTCCCATTTTATACGTGAAAGAACTGGGGCTCAGAACATGCCAAGTTAAGCTTCTTGGCTAATTAAAAACAGAACCAAGATTCAAATAAACTAATTCTGATTTTCCAAGACCATGTTCTCCACATGGCCTATGCAGTTTTATTCTGTATTTGAAATTTGAGCTTTAACACCCTTGATGGCAACAACTCACTCCAGCTTGGAAGTTCAGTGCCTCCTTACTTTCTTACTTTTTTCCTTCAACTAGTAAAGCAGCTTTCATTTGCTTAAACATATTGCCATTTGTCATTTTTGATTATCAGGCACTTTTCTAAATATTCAATGCTGTTATATATATACTTAAACTTCATATCAACTCTATGAAAAGTACAAGAGATATATTTCCCGCTAACATTTTATTATGAAACTTTCAAACATAACATTACAAACTAATATACTCACTGCCTATGGCCAGCCATTAACATTTTGCTATACTTATTTTATTACATATCTCTAATCCATCCATTGTCATTTTAATTGTTGATGCATTTGAAAGCAAATTATAGACATCACTACACTGGCTCTAAATAGTTCAGCATATGTAGTATCGACTAGAGTTCAGTATTTATGTATTAGGTTTTTCTTTTGATGTAAAATTTACATTTAGTATATACACAATCTTAAATGTATATTCTCTGAATTTTGAAAAATGCATACACCCGTGTAACCCAAGTATCTATTCAGATTGGTAGGTGTCTCTTATTATTTCCCTTTGTAGATGAGGAAACTGAAGCTCACAGGTTAAATAATCTGCCTGAGGTCACACTGTTATTATATAAGGGACAGAGCTGGAGATGGAACTCTGATATTTGGGCTGCAGGTTTTGTGCTTCTAACCCCATACCACTACACTGCTTATGGATTGTCCTAAATTGTTCAGGAATCCCTTTACATTCAGGTTACAAATGTAATGTTTATTTTTAACACAAATGTGTAGATGCAGAAGTAATACACTTCAGATTAATGAGAGTAGAAATGCTGGTCTAGAAATGCATTGGTTCCTTGCGAGAGAGTTATGGCAAGAGAAACTAGGAGGGAAGGAAGTTCCATTAATTGAAATAATAGGGTGAATTTTTGTATAATAACTCTGTCTTAACTGGCACCCTTGATTAATGTTTCCACATATAAAATGATAATTCCCTCATGACAACACTGAGGCTCAGGAAGATCCTAAAGTGCCACTTGAACAATTAAAGGTAGATGATGATCTGTATCATTTTTTAATAAGCACATTTTGGTTTATTAACAGAAAATTGTTCATCTACATGTGGTATATACAAGGTTACAGCATTTTGATACTGCAGTCTTAAAATAATAGAATCAACCGATTTGGAATTTATAGTTAGGAAATTTATAAAGTTTTTAAGAAAAACTAAATGGAATTTTTTGCATAAAAATATGAGTAATGATTAGAATAGATTGTATTAAATTTGATTTCTAATTTTCTGTACTTAAGTGAACCTTTCCTATGAAAAGAAATTGTGTCTCTTTCCTAAATTGTGTCCATACCACAACCCAAAAGTTTATCAGTACTCTCTGTTCACTACTCAAATAATGAAAAATTAGCTATCATATATATTTTTTTACAAAACCTTCAGTTTTGCTCAAAAAGCAATTAGAAAAATATATTAAAGCATTTATTAAGCAAATCCTAGCCAATCACTAGAGGGCAGAGCAGTATCATACTTCAGGCCTTATTTGAAAATTACTGGTTAAAAATTGCTGAACATGGAAAATATATTGATGCACAGTTGAATAGAAATTTCTTTGATTTCTTTTTATTGTCTTGTGTGAAATCCAGTAACATGCTTACACTTACATGAACGGAGTTTTTCTGACAAATTACATTAATTACTTCCCTAAAGGGCATGATTATTTAGAAGAGGATGAGGATTCCTTACGAGAAAATACCAATGCTTACAAAGAGTGGTGCATTAAATCATCTCTACTCTATGTACTGCTCTGAAACTGAATTGCAGTATAGACTTTTAGGTGAAACATGAAAGAACAAGTTTGAGACAAGTTTACTAGTATTTAGGTCTAAGAATTTATTGAAATGTAGAGTGTCTTTTGATGTTTCAGCTGAAATTATTGAATCATTAAGACTTCCAAATTAAAATTTTGTAAAAGCAATGAACTAATTCTAGCTCCTTTTTTAAATGTTAAAATGCTGTCAAATGGATGTTGACTTAATTTCATTTGCGTTTAAAAATTTCTGTCATTCTGAAATACTTTTATTCTTATTTATTTTTTATGATAGATTTTTAAAATAAATGTAGCACTGAGGTAAAGTAACCTTGTGAGTAACTGGAGTCTTTCAGTATCCCAAGGGACAGAAAATTTTATTTTGACTGTGTAGTTTGAATTTTATTTTATAAGAATAGTTTATATATGATTCATTTCTCATAGAGGCAGGATAGGATATCAGAAATAAACATTGGGTTTGGACCCAGAAGATTTGGGGCCCCAATTATCATGTGCTTACTAATGACCGTGGGCAAGTCACATTACCCCTCTGAAGTAACCATTTTCCCAATTGTTTTGAGGAACGTGTTTGTGCCTCTGTGTATGTATAACCAAAGATGAGATCCTTTAGAGATGACTTTTAATAAAGATAAGAGCTCATAAAAACCTTAGAAATAACTTTGAAATGGTTGATGATATCATAAATTTAGTAACATGAGAGCACCTATTAAATGAGTAAATATACTAAAAATGTGGTTTCCAAACCCCAGTTCAGATTGCTGACTTCCTCCTTGTCTCTGAGTGTCTCTGGCTGCTTAATTTCTCTGTAACCTCTGGCTCTTTTGCTCCTTTTATTCTTTATTCTATCCTCTGTTTATTTCCATGTTCCCTCTCTCTGTGTTTCTCCTGACTGTCTTTGGTCTCTCTCTGTGTTTTTCTTGTCCCAGGTACCCTCAGGAAGACCCCACGCCTCTAGCGGTACCTGGTATCATCTCCAGCATGTTTATAGATGTGAAGGATTCGCTGGGATATTGAGAAATACCAGAGGCGAACTGTTCCACTGTTAGTAAGTCAATAAGCATTTATTAAGTGACTACTGTTTACAGAGCACAATTGGTAGTGCTTTGGGGAAGAAGGAAGTTAGTGCATAGGTCAGAAGAAAAAAAAGTGTGAACTCTTCTCAGTGGTTCTTGCAGAATGGTCACACATAATAACAACAAAATAAAAAGATGACAAATAATTGTATACTAAACGAATTATGTTGCATGTGTGTTGAAGAGTCCCAGAGTTCATGTAGTAAAAAAAACCAGATGGTATTAATCAGGTTTCCTGTGTGAGTTCAAAATTAGGTTTTTGAAGTATGATTGGAAGAAAGATGAGGTAAAAGAGGATGAGAGTGAGTAATTTCTTTGAGGCTCCAAGACCTGTTCACTTGCCTGAGTGGAGGGGTAGTGAAACGAGAGTGCTGAATTTCAGCCTGCCAATAGCTAACTTTCTTTAAACTTCCCTTCAATTATGAAAAATGGTCAAGTTGAGACTTTCCATAAACATAATGAGTATCTGTTGCCAGTTTTACAATTTATAGATTTTTAAAGGTAAATTGTGATTGTGAAGTAATAAAGAGGTATACTATGAATAAAATTAATACAAACTATTATAATATGATTTATAGATACATTTTATATGCTAAGATAGTTAAAACAGTAAACTGTAGTATAACAAGTTAGTTTTGTTTCTGTATTCAAGTTTATTTTTGCTGTTGTATATTCATAGTCCTACGTACAGTTGTACCATTGTTTTCAGAGTTGGATATTCTGTTTAAATCCTACCTCTTCTAGGATATGTAAGGTTGGACACTCTACATAGCACAGTCTCTCAGTTTTCTCAGATGTAAACTAAGGATGAAAATGTTCATCTTGGAGTTGTGTGACTTAAAGAGATAATTTTATAAGCTCCTGAATGTGTGCTATGTCCTTGTTACTTGAAGATTCTTAAAAAGTACCTTTTAAAATAGTTTCTTAAAGACAGTGTTACTTCTGAGAGTAACTCCTACTTTTTAAAAATAGGAGTAATCTTCATAGTGTTTGGAAAATGCTATGTATACACAGGGCATATTTATAACATGCGAATAAGATACAAAACAATAACATTAACATGAATAACTTGAATACCTGCCACTAACAGGAAACAACTGTGCCTGGCCCAGATTTCATCACCTCTCCTTAACCACACCCCCCAACTCTGAAGGTTGAATTAATTACTTCCTTGCTTTTCCTTATATATTTTTACATATTTCTGTATCCCCTACATAGTTTTGCTTGTTTTTGAATTTTATGTAAACAATAAATATATGTTTTGTCTCTAATGCCTACTTTTACAATGCTCAACATCATGATTTTTTAAAATATTTAAAATTTATTTTTAATCACAGTTGACATACAATATTATATTAATTTTGAGTATACACCATGGTATTTCAGTATGTACATGCCTTATGAAGTGTGATCACCATAGTAAGTCTAGTAACCATCTGTCACTTTACAGAGTTTTTATGATACCGTTAACTATATTCCCTATGGTGTACATTACATACCCCAACTTATTTTACAACTGGAAATTTGTGCTTCTTAATTCCCTTACCTTCCTTCTCTCTAACAACCATCAGTAAATGAAATCATGTAAATGAAATCATATGGTACTTGTCTTTCTCTTCCTAAGTATTTCACTAAACACAATACTTTCTAGGTACATCTGTGTTGTTTCCAATGGCAAGAATTCATTCATTTTTATGTCTGAGTAATCCATTTTATTGATATATATCACATCTTTTTATCTATTCACTTATTATTAGATACTGAGATTGTTTCTGCATATTGGCTATCATAAACAATGCTGCAATGAACATAAGGATGCATTTTTTTAAATTAGTATTTTCATTTTCTTTAGATAAATAGCCAGAAGTAGAATTGCCAAGTAGTACAGTTCTCTTTTCAGTTTTTTGAGGAATCTCTGTACTGTTTTCCATAGTGGCTGCACTACACTAATTTACAACTCCACCAACAGTGTACAAGCGATTCCCTTTTCTTCACATCCTCTCCAAGACTCGTTATTTGTTATATTTTGATAATAGCCATTCTGACAGGTGTGAGGTAATATCTCTTTTTGGTTTTGATTTGCATTTTTCTGATGATTAGTGATGTTTAGCATATCTTCTTGTGTCTGTGGGCCATTTGTATGTCTTATTTGGAGAAATATCTACTCAGGTCCTCTGTCCATTTTTTTAATTGGCTTGTTTTTCTTTTTGATGTTGAGTTGTAGGAGTTCTTCATATATTTTGGATATTAACCCATTATTGGATATATCATTTGCAATGTCTTTTTCCATTCAGTAGGTTGCTATTTTTTCTTGTTGATCATTTTCTTCACTGTGCAAAAGCTTTTAAATTTGATGTAGTCCCATTTGTTTATTTTTGTTTTTGTTGCTTTTGCTGAGGAGATATATTTTTTAAACATACTGCTAAGAGTAATGTCAAAGAATTTCATTGCCTATGTTTTATTCTAGGACTTCTATGGTTGCAGGTCTTAATTTCATTCTTTAATTCATTTTGATGTTATTTTTGTGAATGATGTGAGAAAGTGGTATACTTTAATATTTTTTGCACATATCTGTCCAATTTTCCCAACACTACTTAATAAAAAGGAGACTGTCTTTTCCCACTGTATATTTTGACTTCTTTGTCATAGATTAAGTGGCCATGTAAGGATGAGTTTATTTTTAGGCTCTTTATTCTGTTCCATTGATCTTGCGTGTCTTTTTTTGTGCCAGTACCATATGGTTTTCATTACTATAGCTATCTAGTATTGCTATGTAGTATGTATTATTGTAGTATTGTTTGAAATCAGGGACCATGGTACCCCCAACTTTGTTCTTCTTTTTCAGGATTGCTTTGGCTATTCAGGGTCTTTATGGGTCCATATAAGTTTTAGGATTATTATTTCTAGTCCTGCGAGAAATACCATTGATATTTTGTTAGGGATTGCACTGAATCTGGAGATTGCCTTGGATAGTATGGACACTTTAAGATTCTATTTAAATCCATGAACATGGTATACCTCTTCATTTATTTATGTCTTATCCATTTTTTTTTTCAATCACTGTGTTATAGTTCTCAGAATACAGGTCTTTTACCTCCTTGGTTCAATTTATTTCTAGGTATTTATTTTTATTTTTTGGATGCAATTGTAAATGGGATTGTTTTCTTAATCCTTTCTGCTAGTTCCTTATTAGTTTATAGAACCATAACAGATATTTTAATATTAATTTTTTATCTGGGCACTTTACTGAATTCATGTATTATCTCTAATAATTTTTGTGGAATCTTTTGATTTTCTATATATAGCATCGTGTCATCTGCAAATAGTTACAATTTTATTTCTTTTCCAATTTTGATATCTTTAATTTCTTTTCTTAGTCTGATTGCTGTTGAATAAGAATGGTGAGAATGGGCGTCTTGCTTTGTGTTACAGATCTTAAAAGAAAAGCTTTCAGCTTTTCATCATTGAATATGATGCTAGTTCTGGGTTTATCATATCTGCCCTTTATTAAGTTGAGATACATTCCTTCTATACCCACTTTTTGAGAGTTTGTGTCATAAATGGATGTTGAATTTTTGTCAAATTGTTTTTGTACATCTGTTGTGATAATCATTAATTTTCATCCTTCAGTTTGTTTATGGGGTGTATCATGTTGATTGATTTGCAAATATTGAACCATCCGTGCATCCCTAGAACAAATCCCACTTGAGCTGGGAAACTCTTTATCTGTCTTCAGTTCTGAATGATGGGTAACCTTGTTGGATAGAGTATTCTTTCTTGGCAGTAGGTTTTTCCTTTCATCACTTTGAATATATTGTGCTATACCCTTCTGGCCTTCAATTTTTTTTTCTGATAAATCAATTGATGCTCTTATGGGGGATCTTTTGCATATAACTAGCTGGTTTTCTTGTGGCTTTTAAAATTCTCTCCTTATCGTTAACTTTTGACACTTTAATTATGATGTATCTTGGTGTGAGTCTTTTTGGGTTCATCTTGTTGGGATTGTCAGTCCTTTTTGAACTTGGATGTCTGTTTCCTTCATCAACGTAGGGAATTTTTCAGCTGTTATTTCTTCAATAAATTTTCTGTCCCTTTCTCTCCCTATGCTTCTGGGACCCCTATGATTCAAATTTTGATAACGCTTGATTTTGTCCTGGAGGTCCCTCAAACAATGCTAATTTTTTAATAAAGTTTTCTTTCGCTGTTCTGATTGGGGGTTTTCCACTGCCTTGTACTCCAGGTCCCTGACTTTTCTTTTGCATCCTCTAGGGTGCTTTTGATTTCCTCTAGTATGTTTTTCATTTCAGTTATTGTAAACCTCAGTTCTGATTTTTTTTTCTACCTCTGTTGAAGTTCTGAGTTCATCTATTCTTCTCTCAAGTTCTTTGAGTATCTTTATAACCATTGTTTTGAACTCTATCTGGTAGATTGTTTCATTTAGTTCTTTCTTATGGGTTTTGTTTATTTTTCTTCTTTCTTTGGGAACATATTTCCCTGTTTTCTCATTTTTACTGTCTCTATCTTTGCTTCTGTGAATTAGGTGAAACAGAAGCCTTTCTCAGTCTTAAAGGTGTGGCCTTGTGTAGGAGGAACTCTTTTTCTTTGTGTGTAAGGGGCATCTTTGTCAAGCCCGCTGGAACTGGAACTGGTGCTACGGTGAGCGTGGGGCTCCAGAAAGACCTGGAGCAAGCTGCAGTGGGGCCACCTTGGCAGGCTGGTTGAAGCTGGAGCTGGAGCAGGTACAAGCTATGGGGGTGTCCTGAGGGTACACGCCTCGCCAGGGCCACCTTGCGAGAGTGCTTGGAGAGCGGGCTCCGGCTGCAGGAGTCCCGGGCCAAGCTGCACTGGAACTGCCTGGGCAGGCTTACTGGAGCCTCTGTTGGAGCCCTGAGAATCTTGAAGGCAAGCCGCCTGGCTTCCTGGGCTACGGGAGCTGGGCCAGCCACACCAGGATGCCTGGTCAGGCTGGTTG